AATGCGGTTTCAGAAGCGGCTGTGTGCTTTTCTGTTCCTGTCAGAAGATCCTTCTCTGCTTCTTTCTCTTGGAAGTTTGAGAGGGCTTGTTGCTGTCTCGTTCATTGGTGTCCTTTTCACTGTGTGATGTTGAATGTGAATCTCACTGGAAACAATGGTCACTATAGGCTGCTCTATGCCTACTGCTAGTAAAATAATGTCAGAACTGACTCGATTCCTGAGTAGCCTTGTGAATATCATGATTCTGTATTGCTTTGTGTAGCCTGAGCTGCTACAGGTGCCAATTGTATTGCATTAGAGTTAAATACTGCAAAGGATGAATTTGCATATGTAGTGCTTTTCCCTTTTTTTATTTTTTCCCTTGACTGTCTTTATATTTGGATTATAGATGACTTTCAAATCTTTTCACTAGAGAAATTGATTGCAGCAATGTTTTTCTAGATCCATACGCTCAACTTCTTCTTGAGGCTATGAAGCAATCTGGTTGGTATGTAAACTAATTCATCTTGTTCTGTGTAGTAACATCACTGTTATATGGAGGTACTGGTCTTTTTCAAATTCTTCCTTATAACTTTGTTTATATGGGCCTTCCAGCACTGTCTTCAATGACCGGCACTTCGCTTGTGAAAACTGTGATGGCTGTGTCAGCGGAGGTTTTGATTCTGCCACATCTCAGGTAAGCACTGGACATCATCCTCTTTTAAAGGATTACAGTTTTTTCTAGTGTGTTGTTACTAGGTTTATGTCTACTGATGCTGATACCTGAGTTAGTCATGAAAATAAAATAAATGAAAGATGTTCCAAGGTATTGGAACTAGTACACTGCAGAATGATGAGGCTGTTAATGTTGAAAAACACTGATCTAAAGAGTCTGAATGCCACAGGTAATGTGTGCTGAGTCTCTGAGAAGTGAGGGGGATGTTGAAACGTCGTGAAATGACTACCCGTATCTTTTCTTCTATAGATTGTTCTGTGTCAGAACAACATTCGCCACCAATCTCATATGAACCGGGTGGTCACACATGAATTGATTCATGCTTTTGATCACTGCCGTGCACATGTTGAGTGGTTTAAAAATGTCAAACACTTAGCATGTTCAGAGGTAAGTTAAAATGCTTCTGATGTTGTCATTATATCAGTTACTGCTGGTTGTTAGGGGTGCTTCATGTTTAAATAGGCATGCTGTTACACAGACTTCATTTGGTTTAATCCTGGTTTGGTTTAATAAATTTAGTCCTTTCTGTCAGGTGAACTTAAAATAGTTTCATTCAGAGAACAAATATTTAGTTATCACAAATATTATTAAGTCAGTGTGTTATTAAGTCACTGTGAGTGTAACCATAACAAGAAGTAGTTATTAACAAATTAGTTAGAGATGAAGACACATTCACATGTTAATCAAATGGTTATAGGGTTCTTTTTCTCCCCTGCAAATCTTGATGTGTTGGGTATGTGGTACTGGTTATCACAGTAGTATGGTAACCTTGTTTTTGTTTAGATTTTTTTGGTTAACAACAAACTTGTCTTTTCCTATAACATAAGTTTTTTGGTTAATTGCAGTGTTGCTAATAGTACACTTTAGTTATGACTCCATATCCATTTCAGAGGACATCAGAATTTGCTGTTTGAAAGCCCTTAAAAACTGATGCATTAGGAGGTGGAATTAAACTCAGCACAGGCTAGTAAGGATTCCTCTTGTGTAGTCACATGCTTTTAGTTGATTTCTGATGTGATCAGTGTCATTTCAGCACAGAAAAACTTACCCTTGTGATTAAAGTACATTCTTGTGACTGTGTGAATTAAGTGGCTTTTTAACTGTTTTTTAAAAACATGTAAAAATATTATAGTGGCTTTGTTTTGGGTGGTTTTTTTGGTTGTAGGGTTTTTGTTTTGCTGGGTTTTTTTATTGAGGACATATTTGATTCCGTACTTACGATGCGCATAGGTTTCACCTATAAAGAGTATGTGAGAGAGCAAAAACGATGAGTTAGGTACAGAACAAATCAGATTTCATAAAAATTAATTGCAATTCATTAACTGAATTGATATTTGCTGTGGAAGAGTCACAGTCACGTATTATCTTCATCTTTTTCTAGATGCAACTTAATGAAGTAACCTTATGTAGTATCAATAAAACTGTTCTGTATAATTGTGGTGTTTGACCTTGGCTGGCTGCCAGGCATCCACAAAGCCATTCTCCTACTCCCCCTCCCCTGTAGGACAGGGGAGAAAAATGAGATTAAAAATCTCATGGATCATGATAAGGACATGGAGGTCATTCACCCGTTGTGGCCATGGGCAAAATACACTCTACTTGGGAAAGATTAATTTAATTTATTGCCAATTAATTACGGAATAGGATAGTGGGAAATAAAACTAAAAATACCTTCTCCCCTACTTCCCCTTCTTCCCAGGATTAACTTCACTCCTTCGTTCCCAACTCTTCTGTCTCCTTCCCCTCTGAGCGGCACAGGGGGATGGGGACTGTGGTCAGTTCATCACTCATTGTCTCTGCTGCTCCTTGCGCCTCATGCTGTTCCTCTGCTTCAGTGTGAGGTCCCTCCCATGGGATACAGTCCTTCATGAACTGCTCCAACATGGTTCTTTCCATGGTTCAACCCGTGGGCTGCTGTTCTTCAGGACCTACTCCAGTCTGGGTCCTGTCTAGAGCATGCAGTCCAGGAACGGACTGCTCCAGAGTCGGTCCCCCACGGGCCACAGTTCCTGACAGAAAACCTGCTCCTGTGTGGGCTCTCCATAGGCTGCAGCTTCCTTCAGGGCATGTCCGTCTGCTCTGGCGTGGGGTCCTCCTTTCACTGCACTGTGGATATCTGCTCCACTGGGTTCCTTCATAGGCTGCAGGGAGACCACCTGTGTCACCGTGGTCTTCTACACAGGTGGCAGAGGAATCTTTGCTCTGCTGCCTGGAGCACCTCTTCCCCCTCCTTCTTCACTGATCTTGGTGTCTGTGGGGCTGTTTCTCTCATGTGTTTCTCACTCCTCTCTCTCACAGCTGCCATACGGTGTTTTTATCCTTTCTTAACTACGTCATCACAGAGATACCACTGGCAGCGCTGATGGTCTCAGCTTTGACCAGTGATGGGTCTGTTTTAGAGCCAGCTGAAACTGGCTCTGTCTGACATGGGGGCAGACCCTTGTCTTGTCTCACAGAAGCCATCCCAGCAGGCCACCTGCTGCCAACATCTTGCCACGTAAACCCAATGTGATAATTCAGAATTGTTAGCTATCGTCTACCTTTTTTTTTGGTCTAAGCATTTGCTCAGTGCAGAATGCAGCATGTAAGCCTCAAACATAAAATTAGAGAACTTACATAAAGCAAGGTTGTGCTTGTTCTTGCTCTTGTTGAGATTACTTGTTTGCTTTGGGTCTTTTGATACTTGCTATATGGTGTTTACAATTTTTGTTCTCAGCTCTTTAATTCTTACACTTCATATTTTTCATGCATTTGTTCTCACTCTGATACTTAAATATAGGAAATCTAGTTTTAGTTAGATTTTCTGACTGAAGGGGTAGAGCGTGGAACAGTTGAGAAAAAAAATTACAATGAACAGGACAAGACAATTAGCAAGCTAAAACATACATACTCATTTAAATGTGGCTTTTCCTAAAGCAGGTAGGTTACTGCTCTTCTGGGTATTGCAGCTGTAGTCTTTGAAAAGTATCTGCCTTTCTTCCTCATGCTTATATCAGCTTCTGATACAGGATGGGGAGAATATTGCTTTCCATGTTCTTATAGCAGTTACACACACGCATATACCCATCTGGAGTACTGCGTCCAGTTCTGGGCTCCCCACTTCAAGAAAGATGAGGAGCCACTGGAGAGAGTCCAGCAGAGGGCTACGAGGATGATGAGCAGACTGGAGCATCTCTCCTATGAGGACAGACTGAGGGAGCTGGGCTTGTTTAGCCTGAAGAAGAGAAGGCTGAGAGGGGACCTTAGAAATGCCTACAAATATCTGAAGGGTGGGTGTCAGGAGGATGGGGCCAAACTCTTTTCAGTGGTGCCCAATGACAGGACAAGGGGCAATGGGCACAAACTGAAGCACAGGAAGTTCCGTCTGAACACGAGGAAGAACTTCTTCCCTCTGAGGGTGACGGAGCACTGGAACAGGTTACTCAGAGAGGCTGCGGAGTTTCCTCCTCTGGAGGTATCAGCAGGAGGGTTGGACTAGATGACCCACAGAGGTCCCTTCCAACCCTGAACATTCTGTGATGATTCTGTGATCTGTTCTGCTCATTCATTTGAGCTTTGGGAATGTCTTGGTCCTGGAGAAACTTACAGGTTCTATAGTGATACTATGCAGTTCATTAAGGGTGAGAGGGTGGATATAAAGTGTAGTGTGTACTTAATAAGTAGAAATGGCCCTGGGAATGTTCTTTATCAGCAGTCACCAGAAAGATACTGAAGAAAAAAATATTGTTACAGCTTTTTGACTCTGTATTTCCGTGTGTTTCTCTGATTGTATGGTTTTTTTTCTCAATAGATTCGAGCTGCTAATCTCAGTGGAGACTGTACACTGATGAATGAAATAGCCAGGTTTAAATTTGGATTAAAAGGACACCATCAGGTAAAGACTGTAGATGTTAAAGTCTACTGATTTGTGAAGAGCCATCTTTACTTACTTGATCTTGACCTGCTACACTTCCATAGCTGAAAACATCAGAGAAAGAAGTAGATGCCATGGACTTGATACTTTCTCTTAATTAACCTTTAATAACTTTTAATGATTCATGATAAATGTTTTTTTCCACCTTTTTATGTTTCGTGGAGTGAAATTCCTGAATACTTAGTCATATTGTAAAGCATTACCAGTGACAACAGATGGTTAACGAGAACCAAACGAAATCAGGGTTTGCAGGAAACGTAATGAGAATACATTACCTACTATAAGTAGATAAAACTCTAAAAAGTCTTTGAAAACTGGAGGAAGGAGAATGACAAGGGTTCTAAATAACCAGGTGTATTAAGTCTTACGGAAATTATTTTTTTTAATAGTAATGAAGACTACAGGTTGAATCCCAGGCAGTTGCTCATGTTAGGGTGGCAGTTAGCTTGTATATAGGGATGTTTACATCTTTTTTTTTTTAAGCTTTTAGTAGACAAACTGTGAGCAAAAGTTGCTGTAGGGGTGTCAAAATGAAGGCCAGTAGAGTCATTCCTGTATGTTTTATAGCATTTCATTTGGAAAAGTACTAACTGGTATTTATGTCTGTTTCTTTCTGACATGTTTTCTCTTGTGTCCAAGTCAAGTTGTACAAATACTTGATACATACAGCAAATGCCAAATTGTATTTTAATTCTTTCTAAGGGATGTCTTATCTAACTGTTTGTTTGTACATGGCAAACTAAAACACATAGTTAATGCACGATGGAACAAAAATGTACTTTAATGCTGATTACAGGCATTGTTTGACTCTTCTGTAATAGAAAATTATTTGATATGTAGTAAGAGTTAATACTTGATTAAATCTGGAAAAAATTATTTGTACTAATAATGACAGATTTTTCTTTATCTATTTTCCGCTTTAGACTTGTGTACGAGACAGAGCCATTCGTTCCATTCTGGCTGTTAGAAAAGTTAGCAAAGAAACAGCAGAAAAAGCTGTGGATGAAGTTTTTGATGCCTGCTTCAATGATCTGGAACCTTTTGGAAGAATCCCGCACAGTAAAACAGATGCAAAACGTGCTTACAGAGACTTTCAGAACAGAGGTCGCTATAATGCTAATTTGTAAAGGAAAAAATGTGAAAAATTATGTTAATATCTGGTTGTTCTGTAACATGTAGAGTTACAGTCTACACAGAGAGTACTGGTGGAAAGGGCAATTCTATCAAATGTAAATAAATTAATTTTGTAAATTTTTTCTCCATGAAAGTAAACAAAGTAAATGAACAGGACTAAAATCTGTGTTTCCTCACCTGTTACTCCAGCAAGATAATTCAGTACATCAGATGACTTGTCAGATAATGGTCTGCACATTTACTTCTGCTCAGTCTGACTAGGACTTCGTTTCTGAAAGTTTTGTTGTCACTGAATAAATCTTCTCATAAAATCTTTACATTTACACTGTCTTTGATACACAGTCGTAAACTTGATGGTCTTCGTTGCTCCGTTTTAAAAGATGGACACCTGAACTACAGCTCGTGGGTCTAGTTTTAGTAACTATGGCTAAACCCAAAATGTAATAAACTGCCACATTTGGTTTTGAGCATCTCCTGAAATTCTTGGAATTCCAGCTTTTCTAATGTTAACTTCACAGGTACGTAAAACCTTTTGACTTTTTAGGAATTTGACTGACAATTCTTGTTACCAGGTCAAACTTACAAGCTGGATAAGCATTGGTGAGAGTGTCCACCAGGCTGAGCTTTTCTCAAAACATTGGTGTAGCTTATGGTCATCTTCCTGTACTTGTAAGGTGGGTAAGTCCATCTGAGCAAAGGGAGAAGCTGTCTCATTCCCCCATTGTTTCCAGATACGAGGTATTGTAATTGTTGTGCGTGCAAGAGAACCAAGTTTTCTTCTCTGTCTTGAAAGTAGAAGTGCGATGCAACCACAGGTAGGGTTCAGTGACAGAGATCTGGGTCCCCAGTCGAAGGTTTGTAGGCATGGCTGCTGTAGCAGTTACTGGATCCAGACTCGGGTGAGAAATTTAGTTCCACAAAAGGCGAACTGGTGCCCTGATTGTTACGGTTTCATACACAGTGCAAAACATTTTAGACAGGCTTTCAACTTGATAGGGTGTCCAGGTCTGAGTAGTGGTGGTGGTGTCAGTTTTCCTGTGTAAATGTGCTCGCAAGTGCAGAAGCATAGAATTGCTGAGGTTGGAAGGGGCCGCTGGAGACACCACCGTTTCAACCACACTGCACAGAGCAGCGTCAACTAAAGCAAGTTGCTGAGGAACATTTCTCATTGTGTTTTGAGTGTCTCTTAAGGGCAGAGACTCTACAGCCTTTCAGGATAACTTGTGCTGGTGTTTGATCACCCTTGCAGGTTGGTTGGTTTGGCTTTTTTTCTCGTTATGTGTGAACGTAGTTTCCTGTGTTTCACTTTGTGCCAATTTCCTCTTGTCCTTTCCTTGGACACCACTGAGAAGACTCTGGGTCAGCCTTCTCTATTTTCACCCTTGCCCCGTCAAGTATTTATGCACATTGATGACATCTCCATAAACTTTCTCTTCTCCAACCTGAAGAGTCCCAGCTCTTGATCTCTCTTTGAAGGTCAGATATTTTGATCCATGTATTGTCTTTCTGGTGGTTTGCTGGACTCACTCTACCATGTTTGTCTTGTACTGAGAAGTGCAGAACTGGACCCAGCATTCTAGGTGTCTCACCAGTGCTAAGCACAGTGGAAAATCACTTCCCTCAACCTGCTGGCAGCACACTTCCTAATGCAGCTCAGGAGGCTGTTGGCCTTGTTTGCTGCAAGGTTGTGTCACTTCCATACTAGTTGGTGTCTACCAGCACTGCCATGTCCTCTTCTGCCAAGCTTTTTCCAGCTAGTTAATCAGCCATGTTGTGTGCTGGTACCTGTGGTTATTCCTCCCCAGGTGCAGGAGTTGGCATATCCCTTTGACCTTGGTAGGGTTCCTCTCTACCATGCAGAGGTCTCTCTCAATGGCAGCACAAACCTCTGGTGTATCACCAGTCTTGTGTTGTCTGTAAACCTGCAGAAGTCACACTGCTCCTATCTTCCAGGTTGTTGATGAAGAGGTTAAACAGCATTAGCCCTACACCAATACCTGGGGAACATCACTAATGTCTGGCCTTACTGTGTATAAGCCCCACAAGATGGAGACCAGGGGATAAAGCTCCTCCTGCTGTAAGGAAATATCAGGTTCATGAGCACCTGAGGAACGTGAACATACTCAAGTCCGTGGAGGAGTTGATAAAGACAAAAAGCCACTCTTCATCATATTTGAAAAATCACGGCAGTCAGGTGAAGTCCCTGGTGACTGGAAAAAAGGAAACTTGCACTCATTTTTAAACTGGGTAGAAAGGAGAACCCTGGGAACAACTGACCTGTCAGCCTCCCCTCTGTGCCTGGGAAGATCATGGAGCAGATCCTCCTACAAGCTCTGCTAAGGCACATGGAGGACAAGGAGGTGAATTGAGAAAGCCAGCATGGCTTCACCGAGGGCAAGTCCTGCCTACACCAACCTAGTGGTCTTCTCTGATGGAGTGACTGTATCAGTGGACAAGGGTAGAGCTACGGATGTGATCTACCTGGACTGCTGTAAAGCCTTTGACAAGGGCCCCACAACAACCTTCTCTGTAAATTGAGGAGATATGGATTTGATGTGTGGGCTGCTTGGCGGATAAGGAATTTGATGAGTGGACTGCTCGGCGGGTAAGGAATTGGTTGGATGGTTGCATCCAGAGGGTAGTGGTCAAGTGCTCGATGTCCAGATGGGGACCAGTGTCAAGTGGTGTCCTTCAGGGGTCCGTATTGGGACCGGTGCTGTTTAATATTTTCATCAATGACATAGACAGCGAGATCTAGTGCACCGTCAGCAAGTTTGCAGATGACACCAAGCTGAGTGGT